CTGCCAACCTCCAGGGCACCAGGGAGATCATGGACTGGGACTCGCTGGCACATTTAAGGCTCTATTAGACAAGGGAGATTAGATTAGGTTAGGTTAGGTTAGATTAGATTAGATTAGATTAGATTAGATTAGATTAGATTAGATTAGATTAGATAGATTAATTAGACTAGAAACAATCTAGATTAGATTGTTTAGATTAATTAGACTAGACTATAGTAGATTAGATTATACTATGTTAGATTAGATTAGATCATAGATTAGATTCCATTCCATTCATTAGATTCGATTAGATTATAGATTAGATTAGGTTAAAATTAGATTAGATTAGATTGGATTAGATTACATTAGATTCAATTCAATTCAATTCAATTCAATTCAATTCAATTCAATTCAATTAATCCAATTCAATCCAATCCAATCCAATCCAATTAATCCAATCCAATTCCAATCCAATCCAATTAATCCAATCCAATCCAATTAATCCAATTCAATTAATCCAATCCATTTAATCCAATCCAATCCAATCCAATCCAATCCAATCCAATCCAATCCAATTAATCCAATCCAATCCAATCCAATCCAATCCAAACCAATCCAATTAAATTAAATTTTATTGATTTAGGAGAGGTTTAGGGGTGGGTGTAGGTGGTTTTATGGATGAGGGATTTTTTTTTTCCTTTCTGTTCTTTTTGCTGCTTTCTGTTCTGTTTTTTGCTTGGGGATGGTGCTGAGGATATTTGGGGATATTGAATTTTTTAATTGAATTGGGGGTATTTGAATTTTTTAATTGAATTGGGGATATTTGAATTTTTTAATTGAATTGGGGGTATTTGAATTTTTTAATTGAATTGGGGATATTTGAATTTTTAACGTTTTACTGGCAGTTTTTAAGAGATAGAATAAAGAGAGCAAAGCAAAGAAAGAAAAGAATTCCTGGTTTACTTTCTGGTTTCCTTCCAGCGCCTTTGGCTCTGCCCTGGATGCCAAGGACTGTCCCTGTGCCACCCATTGGGGCTGGCACTGTCCCTGTGCCACTGCACAGAGCTGGCACTGTCCCTGTGCCACCCATTGGGGCTGGCACTGTCCCTGTGCCACTGCACAGAGCTGGCACTGTCCTTGTGCCACCCATTGGGGCTGGCACTGTCCCTGTGCCAGTGCCCATGGTTGGCACTGTCCCTGTGTCCTCTCAAGAGCTGGCACTGTCCCTGTACCATCACCCAGGCCTGGCACTGTCCCTGTGTCATTCCTCAGGGCTGGCACTGTCCCTGTGCCAGTGCCCAGGAGGTGGTGACAGGGCTGATGTGACACAGGGGTGAGGGGTGACAAAGAGCTGGGAGGTGACAGAACTGAGAGTTGACACAGGAGTGACATGGGGGTGACACAGGAGTGACACGGGGGTGACACGGGGGTGACACGGGGGTGACACAGGAGTGACACGGGGGTGATACGAGAATGACACAGGGGTGAGGGGTGACAAAGAGCTGGGAGGTGCCGTGGGGCTCAGAGGTGACAGAACTGAGAGCTGACACGGGGGTGACACGGGGGTGACACAGAGCTGGGAGGTGACAGAACTGACGGGTGACACAGGACTGAGGGGTCCCACGGGGCACAGAGGTGACACAGGGGTGAGAATGACCCAGAGGTGACACAGAACTGACAGGTGACACAGGGCTGAGGGGTGACAAACGGGTGACACAGGGCTCAGAGGTGACACGGGACTGAGGGGTGGCAAGACTGGAAAGTGACACAGGGGTGACACAGGAGTGACACAGGGGTGACACAGGGGTGACACAGGGGTGAGGGGTGACAGAACTGAAGGCTGACACAGGGGTGACACAAGGCTGGGAGGTGACAAAGGAGTGACACGGGACTGAGAGATGACAGTGCTGGGAGGTGATACAGGACTGAGGGGTGACAAAGAGCTCAGAGGTGACACAGGACTGAAGGGTGACAGAACTAAGAGGTGACACAAGGCTCAGAGGTGACACAGGGCTGGGAGGTGACAAAGAGCTCAGAGAGGTGACACAGGAGTGACACAGGGCTCAGAGGTGACACAGGACTTACCAGTGACAGTGCTGGGAGGTGACACAGGACTGAGAGGTGACACAGGGGTGACACAGGGCTCAGAGGTGACACGGGACTGAGAGGTGACAAAGAGTTCAGAGGTGACAAACAGCTCAGAGGCTGAGAGAGGACAGGGCTGGGAGGTGACAGGGGACCGAGGGGTGACAGAACTGAGAGGTGACAAACAGCTCAGAGGTGACACATGGGTGGCACAAGGCTGGGAGGTGACAAAGGAGTGACACGGGACTGAGAGATGACAGGGCTGGGAGGTGACACAGGGGTGACACAGGGCTCAGAGGTGACACAGGACTGACGGGTGGCAAGACTGGAAAGTGACACTGAGGTGACACAGGGCTGAGGGGTGACAGAACTGAGAGGTGACACAAGGCTCAGAAGTGACACGGGGCTGAGGGGTGACAGGGCTGGGAGGTGACAAACGGGTGACACAGGGCTGAGGGTGACAGGACTGAGGGTGACAACCCCAATTTTCCCGAATTTTTGATCCCCACAGATCCCCTGCTCCCCCCCCTGTCCTGGGGGTGACCCCAGCTGTGACCCCAACCCTGACCCCAAATCTGACCCCAGATGTGTCCCCAGATGTGTCCCCCCAGCATTCATTCCCTTTTACCAGATTTCACTCATTTCAAGGACATTTTTCCACTTTTAAATCATTTTTATTTGACTTAATCCACCGGATCCTCTCCTTGAGTCCCCCCTGCCCCCCAAAATCCAGAGGTCCCCTCAAATTCCTCCAACCCCCATTCATTTTTCATTTTTCATTTTTCATTTTTCATTTTTCATTTTTCATTTTTCACTTTTTTCACTTTTCATTTTTATTTTCCCAAATTCTGTGAATACAAAGCTTCTCTTCGATATTTTACAATTTATTTTTTTCCCAACCATATCCACAAATAATGGGCAATTTAACAATGGGCTCCTTTTTCCTGAAAAATGCTGAATTTAAGGGGAATATTTAAGTGGAAAANAGCTAGGTTCAAGAGGGCAAAAAACCAAACTCCACTGATATAAGGGTGTCTTTGAGCTAGATTTTATAAGATTTTGGTGATTTTTGTCATGTTTGGGATAGCTGAGCTATTTCAGATGGATAAAATCAGCAGGATGGGTGCTGTGGGAGTGTTAGAAACAGGAAAGTTTTAATAAAAAACAAAATAAAACTCTATAGAGTACACCAAACTAAGTGCAAGAGGCAAAAAAACCAAAATTCTGCTGTTACAAGGGTCTCTTTGAGCTAGATTTTATAATATTTTGGTGATTTTTGTCATGTTTGGGATAGCTGAGCTATTTCAGATGGTTAAAATCAGCAGGATGGCTTCTGTGGCAGTGTTAGAAAAGTTTTAATAAAAGACAAAATAACAAAATTCTATAGAGTACACCAAACTAGGTGCAAGAGGTATAAAACCAAATCCACTGCTCTAAGGGCCTCCTCAAGCTTGGTCTTATATTATTTTGGTGATTTATATCATGTTTGAAATAGCTGAGCTACTTCAGATGGATAAAATCAGCAGGATGGGTTCTGTGGCAGTGTTGGAAACAGAAAAGTTTTAATAAAAAACAAAATAAAACTGTATAGAGTACACCAAACTAAGTGCAAGAGGGAAAAAAACCAAACTCCACTGATATACGGCTCTCCTCGAGCTAGATTTTATTTTATTTTTGTCATTATTGGGACAGCTGAGCTATTTCAGATGGATAAAATCAGCAGGATGGGTGCTGAGGGAGTGTCGGAAACAGAAAAGTTTTAATAAAAGACAAAATAACAAAACTCTATAGAGTACACCAAACTAAGTGCAAGAGGGAAAAAAACACCAAATTCCACTGTTACAAGGGTCTAGATTTTATAAGAGCTAGATTTTATAAGATTTTGGTGATTTTTGTCATGTTTGGGATAGCTGAGCTATTTGGTTAAAATCAGCAGGATGGCTTTTGTGGGAGTGTTGCAAACAAAAGTTTTATTAAAAGACAAAATAACAAAATTCTATAGACTACACCAAACTAGGTGCAAGAGGTATAAAACCAAATCCACTGCTCTAAGGGTCTCCTCAAGCTTGGTCTTATATTATTTTGGTGATTTATATCATGTTTGAAATAGCTGAGCTACTTCAGATGGAAAAAATCAGCAGGATGGGTTCTGTGGCAGTGTCGGAAACAGGAAAGTTTTAATAAAAAGTTTTGATAAAAAGTAAAATAACAAAACTTTAAATNCACCAAATTCTCTCAGGGAACCCCAGAAGGCTCCCAGGAGATGCCACAAGGTCGGGGGGAATCCCAGGGTGCTGCTGAGGGAGGGCTGGGACAGCTGAGACTGCTCAGAGGAGAAAAGCAACAGGAGAAGGGTCCAGGAGGGAGCCAGGGCCACCAGATCCCAGGGGAACACCCTGAGATCCCACAGGAACCTCCAGCAGATCCCACAGGAACCTCCAGGAGATCCAACAAGAACATCCAGGAGATCCCATGGGAAGCATCCACCAAATTCCATGGAAAGCTCCAGAAGATCCCACAGGAAGCATCCAGCAGATCTCAGAGGAGCCTCCAACAGATCCCATGGGAACACCCACCAGATCCCACACGGACCTCCAGAAGATCTCATGGGAACATCCCGAAGATCCCATGGGAAGCATCCACCAAATTCCATGGAAAGCTCCAGAAGATCTCACAGGAACACCTACCAGATCCCACAGGAACCTCCAGCAGATCCCACAGAAACATTCAGCAGATCCCATGGGAATCCACCAAATTCCACGTAAACATCCAGAATATCCCACAGGAACATCCAAAAGATCTCATGGGAACATCCCGAAGATCCCATGGGAAGCATCCACCAAATCCCATGGAAAGCTCCAGAAGATCTCACAGGAACATCTACCAGATCCCACAGGAACCTCCAGCAGATCCCATGGGAATCCACCAAATTCCACGGAAACATCCAGAATATCCCACAGGAACACCCAGCAGATCCCATGGAAAGCATCCACCAAATCCCAGGGGAACGTCCAGAAGAACCCATGACAACACCCAGCAGGTCCCATGAGAACATCCAGAAGATCTCACAGGAACAACCAACAGATCCCATGGGAACCTCCACCAAATTCCATGGAAAGCTCCAGAAGATCTCACAGGAACACCTACCAGATCCCATGGGAACAACCAACAGATCCCACAGGAACCCCCAGCAGATCCCACGAGAACATCCAGGAGATCCAACAAGAACCTCCAGCAGATCCCACAGGAACATCCAGCAGATCCAACAAGAACCTCCAGCAGATCCCACAGGAAGCCCCAGCAGATCCCACAGGAAGCCCCAGCAGATCCCACAGGAACACCATCAGGTCCCAGAGGAAGCTCCGGGAGCCGCTCTCTCTCCCCACAATTAACGAGACACAGTTAATTACTGACCAGCACAGCCACCGCCTGTGCCAGCTGTGCCAGGGGGGGCACAGCCTGGGCTAGGGGGGGGACACACAGGTGCCACCTGTCACCCCCAGGTCATACGGGGCTCTGTCACAGCACCAGCTGGGGGGGGTGACACAGAGGTGCCACCTGTCACCACTCAGGTCACCATGGCAGTACCAGCTGGGGGGGGTGACACAGAGGTGCCACCTGTCACCACTCAGGTCACCATGGCAGTACCAGCTGGG